AAACAGTGAAAATTTATTGAACTCAAAAATAGTGAAAAACAATGAATTCAAAAACAGTAAAAATTTACTTATTTTACTGTTTTGGTCATTAAAATTGGAACTTAATTTTACTTGGTATTAAAATATACAAAATTTTAAATAGTAAATTTCATCTAATTTTTATAAATCCTACGTTTTGGTTCATGAGAAGTAAGGACAAATAAACAAGCATCTATGTTACGTCACAAAATTACCATCTTCATAAAATTAGACAGTGAATTTTGTCTACTTCTACGCTCCTAAAACGGTCCCATTTTAGTTTATGTGTGTATACAATGAAACACATCTAATTTCATGTAAAGGAATCTTTAATTAAAAAAAAAAAAGGAAGAAAAATTTCTATAAATGAAATCTCCACTTGTCCCACTTGTCAAAGAGATAAGAAGAGTTGAATAAAATATTCGTTATAAGGGTGATACCACATGATAAGGGTATGTGAAATCATTAACTAATAATATTAAAACAAATAAGTAGATAGACCCCCAAAAATTAATAATTAACCTTTCATGTAAGTAAATAACTTTCTATCATTCTGCTATGTAAGCCTAAGTGGGATTCAACTTTTCCATTTGAAATTTTATTATTTATTAATAATATAATGTCACCGTTGCATTTAATATTTGCAATGCGTACCCTGACTCCCTTCCTAAGATGAAGATTTCACTTGCGTTATTAGTAGATTGAATTTTCAAAAACAATGAGCTTGATCCTTTTTGGCTTGTATTTCTGATTTGGCTGCATATTTGACCTGGGTTTGGCCTGTGTTTTTAAATTGGACTTCAGAACTAGGTCTGATCTATAATTTTAGACTAAATCTGATCTGTAATTTTAATTTGAGCTGAACCCATCAAGTATGACCATATATATATGCGGGAGTGTGTGTGTATTATAGTTTATTTATACGCCTCTCTTTTGAATTCGGCTTCTCTTGACCGTTCTATCTATGCTTTATCATTTGTTATAAATGGAGTTTTCAAAAGTTATAATAGTTGATTCTTTGTATAGTAATGTAACAAGAATTTAAAAAGTAGATTTGATAATTACAATCATTAATTTTACTATGAATCACAGTATTTATTGGGACATATTACTTATTTATAATTGAGATTATTAAATTTAATTTTTAAATTTTTTTAGGATGAGTTAATAATCCGACAGGCGAATTCATTAGTCAAAGTTTTAGATGACGCCTTTCATCGAATCATTATCTTGTCAACCGGTGTGAATGTGCACGCACGTGTGCCATTAGACACCCCTCTTCCGGGCTTCTTTTCATTGCTGTAGTAGGCGTGAGTCAAAGTAATTTGGCACTTAAAATAAAAATATTATATGAGGTTTTATTTTATTTTATTGTTAGTATTATTTTTTTAAAAAAATTAATTTAATTTTAATTAAATTTTTTATGTGAGAAAGAGATAGAAAAAAGATGTACTAATATTATCAAGAAAGATGTTTAAACTTTTGCTTACGTTTTTTACCGGAAAAAATAAGAGAGTTTAGTTTGAGAAATTAAATTTTTAAAATTCATTTTATTAAGATTCTACTTACAATTTCTTAAATTTTTCAATATAAAAATCATATTAGAGCCTTATTGTAATTAGGAATTTGTTAGGTGAATTGAGGTAAGATTTAACATACTACTAAAAAATCTAAAAGTTTTACTTAAAAATACATTACAATATCTATTTTTACATAAAATCTTACTACAACTTAGAAATTTTATTGTGACTGAATAATTATACCGATACTGATGAGCCCGAATTTAACTAGGTCAAACCCAATTTAAATAAATCGAGAAAGCCCAATGAAAAGTCCAATCGAAATTGGGTCGACCCGTCAAGAGGAAATCCAAAAAGGTATCAAGAGGTCAGCATGCAAAGCACTAAGAGCCAACGCCCAAAGCATTTGGGGCGTCGCCTAGAGGTCACCCAAGCCAGGTGCCGCCCAAGGCTGCCCCTGGACCTCCTACGTCCTCTTGACCCTGTCACTCCAACTTAAGTCCAACTTAGCTCAGGAGGTCCAACCCAACTCAATCTTCCTCTCGACGGAATAGGAGTACGAGGAGAAAATATCAGGATACGCACAAAAATCTAATCCTACCATAACTATACTTACCAAAATGATAGAAGCTCTCTCACTCACGTCACCACCTCACCGCCTTACTAAGCCAATATAGTGTAAGCTCTCTCCACAAGGAAAGACATCTTGACATCACATTTTTGAGGCCTCTACACTTTCCCTATGCACACTATACCTTTCTATACACATTTCTTCTATCTACCAAGCTTTGTAATACTCCCGGAGTACATTCTCCCGGTTACTCATCAATAAAGATCTTCGGCCACCGCTGCTGTATCCGAGAGTGAAGTAGGTCACCAAGACCGAACCACTATAAATCTTTGTGTTGATTTTATATTTACTATTTTGCCATCGATTACTTTATTTACTGTTCATTTATTGCACCCTTACATATACTCAACTGTTGATCTTGCGTAACACCGATTTGTGCATCATCAAATACAACATTAATTGATTTTAAAAAACTATATATACGATTATTTTTTATTTTAAAAATTAAATAGTTAAATTTTTTGATGAAAAATAAAATACACATATGTAGGCATAATATCATATGAAAATAAGTAATATTAGATTAATATAATTTTTGAATGTTTTTAAAATTTTGTAAGATCACAGATTGCATCGCAGACATCAAATGAGCTAGCACGTAATGGAAAAGTCTGTCTCTCATCATTTAGACTAAACCAAGATCTTATTAACCCACTCATTAGTTTTGATGAATGAGATTCCTAAAAGAATGGATTTTCATTCTCACCGGGGATTAAAAATATCACATTTACACATAAAATTTATTGCATTAGTCATTGGAATATCCCTAGATAGTGTTTCTCAGGGAAAAAAAAATTATTCTCTAATTCTTTTTTCTAATTCTAAATGGAAAAGTATTTTAGTTCATACTTTTCAGGAAAAAAAAAAATAGGCCTGACAATGAGTTAAGTTATGTCAAGTCAGATTCATATCGTGTTTGGCAAAAATTTTTCAACCAATTGTATTGCATCGGATGTACTTCGTGTTGTGTTTAGTTTGAATCGTGTATCCATCATGTTTTGTCGGAACATATATAAGACGCAAGTTGAGAAGAAATAAAAAAGTTGGAAGAGTATAGGTATGCTTGGGCAGCCTTTAAGATTTGTTTTCTAGTTCTCATTCTACAAAAATTGAAAATGTACTTGTCAAATTTGTTTCTTAGGTTATGGTTGAATTATCATGTTATTGATTTGAATGAACCAAAAAGGAAGAAAAATAAAAGAAAAAAGAAAAAAAACACATATCAGAGTTTTGTAATAAAAAAATATTTTTCAATACCATAGTTCGACTGACAAATACATATTAAACTACTAAACGTTCAGCCCTGGCACAACACAACACAACGTCAACCAAACCTAGCCCATGATGGGCTAGCCTGTCTTGTTTCTTGGTCTAGAAAATGATTACAATACTGAGTTTGGATTTAAGAATCATATCAAAAGTAATTAGAATACAATTCAATCTGAATCACATCATAACTTTGGTTAAGTAATCGATAAAAATAGTTGGGATTGATTTCATTCACACTAAAAATTAAATCACAAATATAAAGGAGAGAGAAAGGAATTTAAACATCTGTTGTAGTGGGGATGAGCGATAGTAATGGTGGTGGGCGACAATTGTGGTAGTGGAAGACACTGATGGTTGTGGTGGGTGATGACGACCGTAATGATAGTGGCAGCTGTGCATGACAATGATGATGTTGTTAGTGGGTTTTGAGTGACGATGGTGATAGTGGCAGTCATGAGTGACGAAGATGGTGGTGGTGGGGCGATGAAGGTGCTTTTGAGCGACAATGTGATGAGTGGTGGCGAATGATGGTGGTGGTGGTGGTAATAGGTGTGGGGTGGGTGGGTGGGTGGTGACAGTGGGGGGCAATGACGGGTGGTGGTGGTAGGTGTGGTGGGGGTGAGAGACAATAGCTGATGACGATAGGTGGTTATAGGTTGTGGTAGTGGGTGGCAGTGCCTGCTGACGATGGTAATGAGATGATGATAGTAGTAGTAATAAATATAAAAATGAGATAACGATATTAGTAGGTGGTGGCTGTGGACGATGGTGGTACCAATCGGTGATGGTGGTGGTAAGGCAATAACGGTGGTGAGGTAGTGGCGGTGGTGCAGGTGCGGGTGGGGCAGCGACAGCGGTGGGGCAGTGGCGATGGTGATGGGGTGACGATGGTGGTGGTAGTGGTAGTGGTCATGGTCATGGGCGTCGTCGTGATGGTAGAATAGTGGGGGTGGTGGAGTGACAGAAATGGTGGTGACGACAGCGGTTGTGATGGTGGGGTGATGATGGTTTTTGTGGCAGAGGTGGCGATGGCGGTGGCGGTAGTGGTGGGGTGGTAGGGATGGTGGTAGTGGTGATGGCGGTGGTGGGGTGATGACAATGGTTGTAATGATGGCGACAGTGGTAGTGGGGTGGCTGTGGTAGCGGTGACAGTGGTAGTGGTGGGGTGGCGACAGTATTGGTGGCAGTGGTGGTGGTGGTGGCGTTGGATATGGTGGTGGGGAGGTGGGTGGGGGGGGGGGGAGGGGTAGTTGTTGTGGCGTTGGTGGTGTTAGTGGTGATGGTGATGGTGATGGTGGTGTAACGGCTCTAAACACTATTTTTTTTAAAGTACTTATAAGAAGTTACAAGTTGTACAAATATTTTTTAAAAAAATCATCCTAAACACACACTTAGAGACATATTTTTCATATTAAATTTGGAATGTTAATATTAGTCATCAGATTAATTTTAAAGTAAAATTTAAAGAGATTTCAAAGCAAAAATCATTTTAGTTATTTTTTTTAAAATTTGAATTGTATTATACTTTATTATATAGATTATCAAATTGTATCATAATTTCACTCTTATTAATAAAATTTTCAATATAATACCAAAAAGCAATATTTCGAAATTTATTTCCCCTTCATTCTTTACATAGTACACACATGTCACCCGATACTTCCTTCTTTACATAGTATACACATGACACTGGATGCTTCATTCTTTACATAGTATACACATGTCACCGGATAGTTTCAAAAGAAGGTAGCATTATAACTGAACCTGAAATACACGAGCACCTTGCAAAATAGTAGTAATATGTAGTAGGTTCACCGGCGGCCTCTTTGTCAGCTGCCAAAGAAAAGTTCAAACAGTTATAATTAGTAATAAACACAAGTTGTCCCCCAAAAAAATTATATATCTTAATTTTTTTTATTGACCTCAAATCGACCCTAATAAGTTATATAAATTTGACCTATAGATCTAATATTTTATACAGTTGTGAAATTGTAGAAAATGTCAATTACAATTAACACAACATTATGCAAGTAACCTCAAAGGGTAGCTAATATCAGAAAAACACTTCAAATGGTAACAGAGGCGAACTATAAATACAAACATTTTAAGTTTGAATCTTGGCAACCATTTGAAGCTAGGCTATAAGAGATTTTTATCCCTTATGATTTTTCTAATTATAGAGTAAATGACTTTGCCTTTTATTGGACCGAAGAGGTGATGGATTAGTCAAAGTGCGCGTAAGCTGGTCTGAACACTCTTGACTGTTAAACCAAAAAAAAAAAAAAACAATATGCAAGTGTAAATGGTTGACGAATTTGATTTGTGAAACTTCAATAAAAAAATAATTTTGTGGACTATATCAAATCCTTAAACTTTATTTTGTCTAAATTTAATCCTTTAACCTTGTAATTAAGTTGTTGCAATGTAACTTCCACTGATATCAAGTAAGCAGTAAAGTAGCTTGACACTCATACAGAATGTTAACTGCATGAAAAAAATGGATTGATTTCAAATTATATGCAAAAATACAATGAATTCAATCAACTTCCTTAGACCTTCTAAGTGACCCATGACGATAGCACATGTACACTCATATTAATGGAGTAGTAATTGTATTCTAGGAAATGACCACCCCATGTCTTGATGATATAATTTTCTTTCAGAAATCATAAAAAAAAGAGATAAGTCAGATGTACATACCTGAAGAGACTAATTCGTTGACTCGAACCCGACTTTATTGCGATGTGTATATATTATATATATTTTTGTTCATAATTAACTAACCTGACAGGTTGCTGCATATTCAAGATTGAAGAATAGCATTCTTGATGGAGTACAACTCAGATACAACATCACTAATGTTCATTCGTTCTTCAACGGAGTGTTTTGAACAAGCAACACCAACTCTAAACACCGAAATCAACCACTTGTGCTGATCCTTTTGAATTCTACTACTGAGGAGTTGATGTCTTCTAGTACTACTATTGTTGGCACTACTTATGAACTCTTCCTCTTCCCTGATCTCCTCAACAAGTGTTGAATCCATAATCTTCTCTACCTGGTCAGGCAAAGCTGCCACAACATAGTTATGAAGGTTCAATCTATCTCTAAACATGTTGTCAGTAGGCCTCTTCCCTGTAAACATTTCCAACAGAAGGATCCCAAAGCTGTAGACATCGCCCCAAGTCGATGCATCACTTCCCATCCCATGCTCTGGATTAAATGTACATAACCAATGCAAATCAACTTAAGTTTGTAAAGAATTCATTTAGAGAGTGTGACAAATGTGTTAATGCTTCTGCAAATGAATATTGGGGAATCATGAAGATAAGTAAAAAATAGACTTAGTCTGCGATACTGAAAAATAATCTCTTTTTTATTTTTCATAATTTGTGGCTTTCTATCAAAACCCACCACTTTGCCAAATCAAAGATTATATTTTCCAACATTCAGCATTGAACTAATTAGCAAATGTAATGGTTTTTTGAGTTAAAGTTTCTCTTAAACCTATAAAAGTAGTCATGCATGCATAGAATTTGAATTGCATATATATGCTATTGAAAGAGAAGAAAAAATAAAAGAAAAAGAGCAACGAATTAGAAAACAAGACATTGTAAGCCCATTACCTGGAGCAATGTAACCAATTGATCCTCTTACACCTGTAGAACTTGTTGACAAGTTTTGGGTGGCTGCTGGAAGGAATCTTGATATTCCAAAATCACCTACATGGCCAACCAACTCATTGTCTAGAAGAACATTGCTTGGCTTTATATCACGATGAATGATTGGTGTGGGAATACCGTGGTGAAGATAATCCAGTGCACAAGCAACATCAATGGCAATGTTTACTCTCTGAAGAAGGTTTAACTTCTTGGGCTCTACATCAGCCAAATCTTCAACTTGATTTGGATGCAGATACCCCTCTAGACTGCCGTTTTCCATGAATTCATAAACCAGAGCTTTAAAATCGTTGCCCCGATAATCAACACCTGAACATGCAGTTAACACCTTGACAAGATTCCGATGTCTAATACTCCTCAACGTCTCACACTCTGCTATAAAACTCTTAGAAGCTCCATGATGTGATAGGTTAAGTACCTTCACAGCAATAATTGTTCCATCAGGATCAAGAATTCCTTTATACACAGACCCGAAGCTACCCATACCGATCAAATTGGTTGTAGAAAACCCATTAGTCGCTTGAAGGAGACTTCGATAAGACACTTTCAAAAATGAGTTTCCTGCTAAATCTGAAGAAGGTGTTTTGTTGGTTTTTCTAAACCAACAGATGAATAGAAAACCCAGCACAAGAGTTAGTCCTAGAATCCCAGAAACTATAGATATTGTAAGTTTAAAGATAGATGTTGAGAAGATGTTCTTAGAACGTTGAGATTTGCATTTTGGAAGCTGAAATTCTGGTATATCCCCACAAAGTTTAGAGTTTCCACTCAATGAAGTTGCACTTGCATTCTCAAATATGCCTTCTTTAGGTATTGGACCCTCAAAATCATTAAAAGAAAGATTCAGATATTTCAAGTCAAAGCTAGCAAAGTATTCTGGAATTTTGCCCGATAGATTGTTGCACGAAAGATCTAACACTTGAATACCTTTCAAAGAACTAAAAGATGAAGGAATGGTCCCTTGAAAAAAGTTGCCATCCATATGTAGGAATTCCAAACTTTGGCAGCTACCAAGGTTGCTAGAAATTTTACCAGATAACATGTTCTTCGAAACACTTAAAAAACCTAAATTTTTTAGGTTTCCAACTTCAAGGACTAATGAACCAATCAAGTGGTTGTAAGATAAATCCAATCCTATGGATAGCGATGAGATACCCAAAACATGACCAGGTATTGTGCCATTGAGGTTGTTCCAAGAGAGATCAAGTTGATTCAAGTTTTGGCAATTCCCCAAACTTGAAGGGATGTTGCCCTGAAGATTGTTTCGATCTAAATAAAGTTGTGTTAAAGCACTTAGATTTCCTAAAGATGATGGAACATTCCCGGATAATTGATTTCTTGATAACGCCAAGACATGTAGGTTTTGAAACTTTCCAAAGTCTGGGGGAATGTGACCGGTGAATTTGTTTTCCTTCATGCCAAGCAGTTCCAAGTTGGAAAGATTGGCTATCACACTAGGGATGCTTCCAGATATTTGATTGCTATCTAGTACCATTTGTACAAGCTGAGTTGAGAGATTTTCAACGGATTCAGGCAACACCCCTCCAAAATTGTTTACATTCACTAACAATGTTGTTAAATTGGTGGCATTGGTTAAAGTGGAGATAAAGCTCAAGTCATTTGCCTCTCCACTTCCCAAGTGATTGATATTGATGCCAAACTTGCGAAGCTTATAACACTTTCCAAGATGAGGTACTTTTCCAGTGAGTTTGTTGTGTGCAAGTAGCAGGTATTCAAGATTTGACATATTGGACATTGAAATAGGAATTGATCCAGTAAATTGGTTTGCCCCAATGCTTAAGAATTTCAGATGAGGAGGAGTGGTACTGCCTATCAAAGAAGTAAGGTCCCCTTTGATTTGGTTAACCCCAAAATCAATAACTGCAATAGAAGAGATGTTGAAGATTTTAGGAGGGATGGTACCAGACAACCTGTTCTGAGATAATGCAATTATTTCTAGTTTTGCAAGTCGTCCGAGTTCTTTCGGGATACCCCCAACAAGATTGTTGGAATACAAATAAAGTTCAAAAAGAGATGACAGGTTCCCAAAAGGAGGGGGGATTATACCTGTCAGATTGTTGTTGCTACCCATGAACTTTTCTAGTTTAGACAGAGAGCCAAGTTCCATAGGGATCTTCCCTACCAACTTATTGGAATGAGCAGAGAAGCTAATGAGGTTAGAGCAATAAGATATGTTGGCAGGAATCTCACCTCCAAATGAATTATTCAGAATCCATAAATATTCTAGTCTTCGCAAACGGCCAAGTTCAGGAGGGATTTCACCACGAAAGCTATTGTTTTGCAGAATCAGTGTCTTGAGAAAGCTCAAATTTCCAATGTGAGGGGACATAGTTCCGGACAACTCTTGATTCCCTAGGTCTAGTGCAATGACCCTTTGGTGTTGGCGGCGGCTGCATGTCACCCCAAACCATTTGCAAAAATGGATGGATTTGTTCCATGAGCTCACAGCTCCTAAAGGATCAGCAATTATTTCGGCCTTAAACGCAATCAATGCTAGCCGATCCGTCGTATTCCCATGGCGCACACAACTGCCAACCTGAGAAAAGCCTAAAATCAAACACAACAGGAAAGTAGTGTTTACATAAGCCACAAACCAGAAAGATGATTTATTCATTTGGGTGTTTGTAAATGCTTGTTGAATTGGAAGCTTTGGGTTTTTTGGCATTGGTTTATCGAGAAAGAAAGTAGCTTAAATTAACTTAGTAGAAGAATTGTAATGGCTATATATATATCAATATTCGTGACTAGACTCGAGAAGCGGGGTGATACTTTCCGACAAAAACTTGAGACATCAAGCTAACTTCAATTATAGTAGGTTCATGAATGCGCCAACTTTAAATACATGGTGGGTGCCACCATTAATGACTAATAAAATTAATGTCAAAATTATAGATATGTACATTAAAGGGTATATCACATATTTTTTTTATTTTAAATTATTGTGAGCAAGATCAAAAAATGGCCAAGTTAATCTTAATTTTGTATATTGTAATTTGAAGACCCAATAGTGGAGGCGGTTCTAACAGGTTTTTGGTCCAGTGATACTCCTTACCTTAAGAAAGATTTGCCTCTTTGAGATCAAAAGTTCAAGTCCCTCCCTCCCTTCTCCTCCCCCCCTCCCCCTCCAAAAAAAAAAAAACAAGAGTGGAGACAGTAGTCATTAGGCCAACCATAAACATGTACTAAGCAGTATTTTAAAAAATAATTTTGGATTGTTGAACTATTCATTGAGTGATACTTGTTTATGTTGAAGCATGTAAACTTTAGAGATTGTAAGTTTTGACAGATGGAATTGGAATGAAATGGAATCAAAGAATGAATCCACTTAATGCTAAAAAGAAAAAAGTTAGCCTAGTGAACCGGCGATATGTTTGACACAAGTCATCAGTTTTAATACAAAATTGATACATATTTATCACATTTTAAGGTAGTTCATTCATAATCATTTGTAAGTTAACTTTAAAGTATATTAACAACAAAAAAATTATTAAAAGCAAAGGAGAGGACGTAAACCTATACTTAGGTTAGTTAAGCCCATTTAGGCAAAAGTTTATTAATAACAAAAAATTTATAAAAAAGAGGAGAGAGGACGTAAACCTTACTTCATTTGCATAATAAAATAAAATAATTAAAAAGAAATTAAATTAGCAATATAAAGTTGCTTTTTCAAATGTGTTTCACTAGCGTGTTAAAAAGTTGGGTGTTTCGCATTTACATTTCAAAAGATATCTTAATTTTCACTTTACACCTCAAAAGATTATGTTTCTCATGTTATACCCTGAATGTCATAAATTAGTTTTAATGTGTCTCTTAGACTAACATTCGTTATAGATTTTATTAAAAATTGATGCACTTTGTCACCTACGTGTGTTGCTCTTGAGTACAAATGTAAACTCACCATTTATATCCTTAGGTAACATGTGCATCAATTTTTAACGGATTTGAAACAGATATTAGTACGAGGGCTATATTGAAATTGATTTATGACATTCATGGTGTAATGTGAGAAAAATAATTTTTTGAAGTGTAAAGTGAAAAAAAAGCTATCTTTCAGGATATAAAGTACAAAAATTCATAAAAAGTTAAGTCAAGATCCACCTTCCAATCAAATTCTTTTCATTGTAACCTCTTCCATGCTTATCATCGTCAAGTCTTCCACTAAAGTCCTCCACAAACATAATAAGGTAACCTCTTCCATGCTTACCATCGTCAAGTCTTCCACTAAAGTTCTCCACAAACATAATAAGGCAACCTCTTCCATGATTATCATCGTCAAGTCTTCCAGTCAAGTCCTCCACAAACATAAGAAGATAATAGGCGCTGGTCTCCATCATGTCTCCCACTAAACCATTAAAATGAACATTCACTTGGTCATGTGTGAATCTTCTGTGATAAAGTAAAGGCACTCATGTAATAATGCAATATTTGGGCCATATAGAGGTGACAGAAAGGGGTGGAAGGGAGAAAAAAGGGGGGAAGCAATTGCATTGAAAAAATAGGGGTCCACATGCATTCATCAATTGTAAAAAGAGCAATGCTATTGAAACTTAATTTACCGACATAATTTATTGACCTAATTTACTGTGATATTTGGATTCACTGTAGACCCCATCAAACATTATAATTTTGTGTTGATCCAATAATTCCTACGAAGTCACATTATTATGTCAACAAATTATGTAAGATTTTTAGGTGTATATATTATTACTCTTGCAAAAAATAAAAAGGAAAACAACTTTCGGTGAGGTGGGAAAGGGGGTTAGGAAAAAGTAGTGCTTTCAAAGAATTATCAACTTTTTTATTTTTTTTAAAAAAATATGGGTTTTTCGTATTTTGTACCTAGAAAAATGTCTCGATTTTCACTTTGTATCTTGAAAGATTTTTTTTTTTTTTACATTAATGTCATAAATTGGTTCCAATATGACCCGCGAACTAATAATTATTTCAGATTCTGTTAAAAATTGATGCACATGCCACCTAATGATATGAATGGTGAGCCTATATTTTTGCCCAAGAGCAACACACGTGGGTAACATGTGCATCAATTTTTAATAGAATTTGAAATGAATGTTAGTCAAAGGGCCACATTGAAACTAATTTATGATATTCATTGTGTAATATGAAAAAAATTATCTTTCGAAGTGTAAAGTGAGAATCAAGACATATTTCGGGATGCAAAATACAAAAATCCCATAAAATAATAGTTAGTTTATACCAACTATTGAAATTATAAAACCTTCTGAAATTTTGTTTGGTACAATAAATATTTTAATTTTAGTATATATAGGTGGTATATCTATTCTATACTACTTTAAAATATCAATATATCAGAAAAAATATTTTTTTTCACTTTTATCCTCTAAAAACGTAAATATATCATTCTTATCCTTTAAAATTAAGGTCATACTTAAACCTAATTAATCACCTCTAAGAATTACTGCCTCTCAATTTTTCAGCTGTTCCAACACCCCTCCCTCTCCTGCGTACACACTCCCTCTCTTCACCTTCCACCTTTCCCCCTCCCTCCATTACGTATTTATCACTCGGTGAAGAACAAAAAGCCTCGCTCCCTCTCTTCTTCTTCCCCAATTACAATATATGTTGTTCACAAGATTTGTTTGAGTTGGAAACCAACGGTTACTATAGCTTCAACAAGTACCTTAGCCACTGGCCACTCCATTCCCTTCAGTCTTGAATCAGAATTTTTGTGATTTATTTCAATGGAAATGAACTCTCAATCCGCCATCGAATTTGTGGTATCTTTTAGTGAAGCAATGTGGCTAGACTGTTGCATCGGTCCGGTTTAGTACCCAACAATGTGGCTTTGATCCTTTTTATATATACTAGTTATTGTCTGTGCACAATAAATATATTTGTATTCATATCTAAAATTAAATAACAAACATAGAGGAGAGATAAATGAATTTTAGAATCTGTTGTAGTGGGGGTAAGAGGTGATGGGTGGCAGTGAACAATAAATATAAATAAAAAATTATATTTATTTGTATTCATATAAATAAAAAATGGTGAACAATAAATATATTTGTATTCATATCTAAAATTAAATCACAAACATAGAAGAGAGATAAATGAATTTTAGAATCTGTTGTAGTGGGGGTAAGAGGTGATGGGCGACAGTGGTGGTGGTAGGAGATGGTGTTGGTTGTGGTGAGTGACAATGACCGTGGTGGCTGCGGTGGTGGCGGTGGCAATAGTGGCGGTGGCAGTGGCAGTGGTGGTGATAGAGGTAGAGGTAGTGGTGGGATAGTTTCAAACATTATTTTTTTTAAATTATTTTTGAGAAATAATTTCTAAAAGTACTTTTAAAAAGTCAGTTCGAACACACCCCTAAGGGCCTATTTTTCCTATTAAATTTAGGGTATTAATATTAGTAGTTAGATTAACTTTAAAGTAAAATTTAAAGCGATCTCAATCGAAAATAACAAAAGTCATTTTGTTTATTTTTTGAGATTTGAATTATAAACTATTTTATCATATAGATTTTTTTTTATGTGTGAATGTGTGTGTTGAGATTTGAATTGTAAACTACTTTATCATATAAATTTTTTTTATGTGTGAATGTGTGTGTTGAGATTGTTCATTTGGTTTTGCTAAAAGCCAATAAGAGCTGACTATGGAAATGCTAGAACTGAGTATTATTTTTATTGGGAGGATATCTAAATTAATTCAGTATATCCGTTTCATTTCCAAAAATTGGATTTTTTTGTCTTATTTTTTTATTTTTTGCTTGGTTGTTGCTCTAGCTTTTTCGGTGTGTGCTTTGATACGTTAATCGGTGTTTGGGACGGGGCATTTACGGTGACTGCGTTCGATGCCAATCACTCCCATGGTATTTCATTAGGTATTTGACTACTTAATTTATATTCGTATCTCTTTTGATAATGAAGTAGAATCAAATATCACTTCTTTCATATCCAAAAACGTGAAAAATTCGATTTCAATCCATGTTGTTGGTAAGCCATGTACCTAGGATGTGGATCTAACCTCCCCATCCAAATTTCCTATATTTTGTATCGTTTAATTCATACTATCAATGATGAAATACTTAGTTTCTCCAACAAAATGAAAAAAAATGCTGATAATTTGTATTATTACCAAAGGGGAAATGATATATGCAGCCTCGTTTGACTTCCTTTTTATGTATTTTAGTTGTTTTTTGGAATTCTTGAACTTGCACAAATTAACTTCCTCTTCATTTAGTTGAGTAGCTACACTTTTTCCAAGTCATTTATTTAGTTATTTATTTTATGTTTCAAAGAACAATTGTTTTGCAAGTTGTATGAATTTTTGTGTTCAAGTGGTCATATAAGGAAAGTTCATCTTTGGTTTCACATCTTGCCATTTCTAAGGGGAATTTTCGCGTAAGTCTATATGCAAGAGAGACGAATTGACATTATATTAAAAAGAGTATTTCACACTTCCATTCAATAAAACATGGAGTCTCTATGGAAGCTTGCATATTTGTTGGCACCGGCTCCTGTAATTATGGTTTTGAGTGTTGTAGCTGTGACATTTGGTTCCACATTTCGAGCTTTAACTATGGAAAAGAAATGGAACGAAACCTGATTTTTCAGAAGCATCCATTATTTTAGATAGTACCCAAGCACTAATGATACCCATCATGAGCTGTTGCAGCCTT